TGTTAGAGCAATAGGACCACAGGAACTGTACTGCAAACAAGAGCTTATCGACTGCAGGAGAGACCCTATCCAACCAAGCCATAAGCTGACATAAACAGCATTACCGCGTCCTATCTTTGTGTCCGAAAACCAACCACAAAGAGGAATGAGAAAGTAAAGAGCATTTTCAATAATTAGACTGTAATCAAATGCGTGATCACTTCCAGGATAATAAAATGAACATAAGTAACTGGGTGGAACAATTATGTCCTTAGCAATGTTATACAAAATTACAGTGCAGATTGCAATTGGTGCAGCATAGAGCAATAGAAGAATCAATGGGATACTTAATGAACGAGCCTTTAGCTCCTTCCAGTAATTTCTGAAACACCTGATGGCTTTTGATCTTTTATCCTTTTTTGCATTGATAACAAGAGAAACACTTCCACCATCAAATGAAGAGGACAGCAAATGCCTCGCTTCTTTGTGAGAATCCATGAGCTAATGACACACCTTGTTTTTTTTAATAAAATCAATCATGTGATCATAATAATAGTATTCATTATATCTAATAACAAAATTATTCATTATTTTAGATCTAATTTTGTACTACAAGCATTACACTTTACATCACATATAACTGTTTGAGGAACATAATTTTTATGAACAATATTTTAAACCAATTCCACCCATTCTCTTAGTATACTCAGCATTAAATTTTGATGACTGTTCCTCACTAAAATGATTCTTCCAATCATCAACAACTCCTTTACGAAGGAATGGTGTAGAATTTGTCTCTACTTTATATGTAAAGAAAAGATCAGGGTTAGCCAAAGGATTTGCCTTCATGCTTTCAAATGAGCTCTGCTCAGCAATACTCTCTATTGTAGCCTGATCAAGATCATATCCCATGAACTGTGATATACTCTTCACTGCCCCTGGGAGATCCCTCTTCATGTCCTCGTACTTTAGAAACATAATATTTTCAGCATCTGCATAATAAAATTAATACGTACACTATAATGTTTAGTAGAATTTTCCACAGGATTTTGCATAGTGCTCATGTTAGTGAATTGTCAAGTTGCAAAAACTGGGGCTAAAGACTGTGACAAAATCACAATCAGAGAATTCTCCATTTTAATAATTTTTTAGATACTTTATGTTGCGTATGAACTTTGAGCTGATTCTAATAAAATTTGAATTTTTTATAAATATAAAAAGTTGCTTAAAAATTGGGCCAGCAAAAGCTATAGCCTTTGGTCTTAGGTCAAGTTTTATCAATCCATTTTTATAATTTTTCCAACATGTATACATGTCTTTATGCTGCGTATTAATTTTGAGCTGACTTCAAATTTTGATTTTTAAGAATGTTTACCAAATGCTACGTACTGTACTGTAGTGCTTGTCAGCTCATAAAGCATGCT